ACCTGGAGTAATTCAATATTGTAATGAGCAAGATCATCCTCTCTCTTTTTATATATTGTTCAATTTTTTTTACTATCTAACTTTCAGAATGAAGTGATGTAAAAGCATCTACACATTTTTGTATATGTTTATTGGTCATTTAATCATTTATAAATAAAGCAGAACTTCACAAAATGAAAAAGTTTGGGGATTTAAGAAAAACATCAAGTAGGCATTCCACAACCTTATGTTTCTATGAAAAAAATTTGCTGTAGAGAGCATCCATAATCTAAAAATACTGTAATATAATATTTTTGTTATTAGAACATAATAAATAGTTCTAACATACATTTTTACCTGATGTTACATTGTACAGCGATCAGAATAATGGCATACTATTATTAATTAATTATCATTTTGATACTTACAAGAGTAAGTCATGACAGAATCAATCTGCAGTACTTGGAGTGGATCATATTTTTGTCAGTTTCTTTGAAAAAGTGTTGCTCGTGTGTGTATGTGTACTCCCTTACTCTTTCAAAACCATCTATTATTTTGTCTTTTGTCTATGTGTCACATCCTTATTCCAGTAGGATTTTTGAGCTATTTCATCCACATTACTTTCTTTGAATTTTACTTTAATGTATTTTTTCACACTGAATCTGACTGTAGGAAGCTATGTTTGTTGTAAATTTCTTTCCATTTTTGTGTACTTCACAGAGAGGTAATCAGCATTCTGAGTTAATTTATTGCACTACTGCACAGTGAATTCTACCAGATATGAATGGAATCCTAAATAACATTTAATTCTAAAGTTGCATTGAATTTTTTTTGTGAATGTAACTTACACTGAGCTACTGGATATTCTTTGTTTTGGATGAATTTCTTATAATGTTTAAGATCCAGTTTAGTAAGCTAGGAAAATGTCAGATGTCTCTCACACATGAAGTCCTTAAATCTTTTTGTTGTTGTTGTTATTCCCTTTACTCATAATGCTACTATTCCAGGTATTGTACTTATATAATTGCAAGCTCAGACTAAATACTGCTAATTGTTAAATATTTTTCTGGAGATAAAGCACTTTGATGATTTTTGTTTTTAAAAAATGTTTTCACTTTTTGATAAAGACTCAGTCAAAAATATGCAGCCATACTTCCACAACTGTCAATTTCTTTTGAGGTGATGTTGACATTGCTCTTGAAATATGCCAAGTGATTGAGGATTTTTGTACATAAACCCTTTTTTTTATCTGTGAAATTGATTTTTGGATGATTTGAGGTTTCCATCTGTTTAACTTGTATTTGCTCATCCTAACTCTCCTTTTTCTTTCATTGAGTTTTTTTCAGAGAGTCATTCTTTCATTTTCATATTTCCAAAGCTTCAGATCTTTTTGTTTTCTTTTCTCCGTACTTCATTTTTTCTGCACAAATTAAAGATGAATGTGAATTTTATTTTATACTGGCAATTATAAAGTTAAAAACCGTGGCACTAAGTTTTTTGAGCTTCAAGATAAAATACTTGGTGTATCAAATCCATTATTTAATGAAATTTCCTTTCATTCTTTATTTTTTCCCAACAATTTCAACAATACAGTAGTACTGTGGGTGAAACACAACTTTTATATTGTTTTTAAACATTGTAAGACAATATTAGCACAATAGTGATATGCATAAATTAAAACAAGAAAAGGAACATTTGACTGGTTCAAATCCTAGTTTGAAAATAAACACTAATATTATGATTTTAATGGTGCTCACCTAATTTAAAGAAAGTATATTATAGGTAATTTAAGGTTGTAGTTTTGGTCCTTTTATTATTATTAATGTTTAAGATTCAGACTGTGAAATACTGTAAGCCTTTTCTTGTTTTTCCTCTTGTAAGAAACACAACTTTTGGTTCTGAATGTCTTTGAAGCAATACATTATATGCATCACCTTCCCAAAAGTTCTTCACTCTCACACCTTCTATGTGAATTATTGAGCAAATACCAGATGATCTACACAATCTCTGTTTTACTGCCACAAGCTTAATTTTCTTGTTGAAAGTGATGCTATAAATTTCTTCAATTCAATTGCTCCTCTCATGAATTCTAAAGTCAATATTAATCCTGATATTAACACTTTGGTTAATTCTGAAAATTGTCAACATTTTTCAAAAGTTTTGAAATCTTCTTCACACAATCTTCTAGTGTGCAGGAAGATTACATATTTGGACTGGTCAGTTTGTTAGAACTTATTAATGCTCAATTGTCTGCTAGAGTCCCAGTCAGGTTTCCTGATCATGTTGACACTCAGTTATATGACATCTGCCTTTTTCTTAAGTTGGTAAACAAGTCCAGTCTTTTATACAGGTGTGTTTGCCTTCTTTGATTGAGGCAGCTTTTGAAAGTCTATTTCACTATTTTTTCAGTTATGTCCTATTTTAAATTTTGAACTAATTTAGGTTATGTCTAATGGTGCTAGTGTTATGTTAGATTATCAATTTCTGAATCCTTGTATCTTCCACCTTCTTATAATAATTGGTTGTTGCTGGTTCTTCAGAAATGAACACAGTGTTAGTGTTATTCACATTCCTCAGGTTGGTCATGCAGATGGCCTTTTAGTGTGGTTTCTTCAACACACATTTCTTTACGAGTTTTAGACCCCCATATTATTCTTTGGGATGAAGGTCTTCCATGTGGTCTTTTTTCTTGTTTTTCTTTTCACTTGTCTTTTCTGCATTTGTCTCATCTTTAGAAATTCTTCAGTGCAGATCAGTTTTCTACTTTGGAGTATTCCCTGTGTGCAACTCTCACAGATTTAGTATCTGTTACCATGTGCCTTCTATTTTCTTTTGAAATCTTGCCCATTATTCTGTGCTCCAAAATTCTTGTCTTCTTCCAGTATTTCAGCAGACTTCAAAAGGGTTTCTTTCTTGAATCATTCTGTTTGCAGGAATACCACATAGTGAGGGTTCTAGCCTCTGATGTTTGTCCTGTCATTATCCATCTGCCATGCCTTTTCTGCTTTAAAGTCTTCTATGTCCATTGCTTCTACTCATTCTTTTCATCCCATTTGAGTTGCCAAGCTTAGAAACAACCAGTGAGGTTCCACTTTGAACTTCTTATTGACTTGCTTTATTTCTGGATTTACTCTCTCATGATTGTTGGCTAGACTCGTTTGTTCCTTGTGGGAACTTTGCATTGAATATATTCTTCATTCCAGGCCTTCCTTTTACTTTTGTCTTCCTTTTCCTTCTACTCATCCTCTATCATTCCTCCTTACTTTTTATCCAGTTGCCCTACGAACTTTGGATCAAGAAGTCTCGGATCTCGTACATAATGCAGATGTCAAAATTGTTCATTATGCATTTCCAGGTTTAACTCCTGTCTTTTTGTGGTTGTAAGATTAGAGTTCCTTGATAGATCTGTCTCATCTCAACCATATCTTGGAGATATCCCATTTCAAAATGTAAAGAATGAGTACATTATGCAAGTTTCTTAGTAGATATCCAGGATGCTTATCTTTCAAAGGTAAGTCTGTATAAATTGTTATTCTTGTACAGTAATTCACATGGAAGATAGGTGAGTGGCTAACTGGTTAAGGTGATGCATGTAATATAGTGCATCAAGAATAATCAAAGCTAAAAGTCACATGGTTGTTGACAAAGCAATAATTCAGCAAGAAAAGGCTTACAGTACTTCAGAGATAAGTACCGACTTGAAATGCACTTTAAAACCAAGATAACAATGCATTGAAAGATATTGTTCATTTGAGGCATTATGGGATATGCTTTGAAATTATCACTTGCAGTTTTCAGCATTTGGTGGTTTAGTGTCTGTTACATAGGTAAGCATCAAGTATTAGTCATTGAATAAGTTCTTAATTGTTTAATCACTTCAGCATGCTTGTGCCTATGACTTTAATTCTAAAAAAAATGTTAAAGTTTTGGGTGCTCTTACAATGTACATTCACATTATTAGAAAGACAAGATAAAAATAAAAAAACTGTATAACATGAGCAGTTTTGAAAGTTACAACTTTATCATGTGCAAAATGTATGTTGATAGTCATGGACAATTTGGAAAATATTGAATCATGTTTCCGAAAGAAAGTATGATTAAGAAAGAGTAGAGATTTGTGAGAATATTTATTGTAGGCTTATCTTAAATATTATTAAATTAAATTTTATAATTTGTTATTAGTTTAATGTAAAAAAGAATATTGCCTTTGCTGGATATGCAAATAGCCAATGCAGTTTTAGTAAGTAGAATAAAAATTAAATACCAAAGACTATCTTAATAGTAATGTGACTTGGCATTCTTGTATACAGGTTGCTTTTAAAAAAAGTATATTGTTTTCTGTTGCAAAATGAGAAATCTGCAAACATTTTATTACTTTCAGTTATGCATGGACATCCATACTTAATTTGCTGATTAAGAAACTACACTTCTCATGGGTACAAAGAGAAAATATAATTATGCACAACCAAAATTCTAATATTTACACCACACTTCTAAAAGTTGACGTTTTGCTAGTGATTTTTGTTTTGTAATATAATGCATAATTCCAAACTTTCCTGAGGGTACTGGAGGACAAACAACTGAATTATATTTTGTGAAATTCTGTACTGAATTTTATTAAGGTACAAAGTGATCACCATTAGATATATTTATTTTAATAAATACTTGAAGGATATTTATTTTTCTTTTGTACATTTCAGGTATCAAATTTTGAAGAGTGTTGAGAAGCTAATAATTCTCACTAATTTTTATTGCATTATCTGATATTTACTAATATAGCAGTTTGGTTTATTACCTTAGATTTCTGAAACTAAGTCCTCTCTAAGTAAGTTCATCTGTGGATAACACATATTTGTTACAATTCAATTCTGACATGAATAGTGTATTTCAAATATATAAAACATTTCTGTATATATGTACCTGTATATGCGCACATATATGGCCATAACTTTCTCTTAACTGTTGCATCGTGACTTTCTTTTGTCTGCTTTTATGTGACAAACATTATACTTTTTTTTAAGAACATAAAGACAAAAGTGGCCATTGGACTCATCAGGTCATCTTTTTTATTGCCGTTGTTAATTCCTACTGGAGACTAGGTAGGAAACTTCTATCTTTACAATTTTATTTTTCTTTCTTTTTCATATACTTTAGATTGTTCTGCTCCAAATTGATTTTTGTATTCTACCTAGATAGTTTGTTGTGACTTATTGAATTTAGAATCTTGCTGAACAACTCCCGACACATTAATTTCATTTTTGTGTAACTTGCCTTTTTGTAGCTAGTTGAAATAAGGTAAATGTCTTGCTAACATTTGATATAGTTCAAACTCTGCATGTGTATCAGTTAAGATCAAAACATGTATTTTAATTGTTCAAAACAGTGTCAGCATTGTTCTTCATGCTGTTCTTTTGCTAATATCTCTTCTAAAGTATATTTATCTTTTCTGTGTTATCCTTGCACTCTGCTTTCAGAATTGAAATAGATTTTGTTGTAAATATGAATTTAAGCTGAAGACATTATTTTTCTGTGTTTACCACCATTTGTTTCCATACAATAGAGATAGAATACATGATTGCAGATGAGAAAATCTGTTGTGTATTACCCCAAACCAAAAATTAATTACCCAGTATGACAACCCCATAATATAGTGCAATTGTCATTATGTTAAATTGTGATTTATTTTTAATTATAAGGCAGATCTTGGTAGAAATTTGTAAATAAGTATATTATTATGGTATCTTCAACACGGAACACTTTGAGTGTTTGAGACACTGGTTTTTCAGGTAAATATACATAGATGACCTCACTACACAAAAGGGCTTTTGTCATATTGCTCAATCTTAGGCACATGTGCAGTTATATTGAAATAAAAGTTAAGAGTAATTAAATAGTTGTTGTACTGTATTATAAAGAAACTTTTTTGATTAAACAATAGTAAAATTGCATAGTCTCTCAAAAAAATAATTTCTCTTTACTCTTGTATAAACCAGATGGTCTGTACTTCTCAAAATAATTTGATTATTGAAGAAATACCTGATGTGTATGTGAAACCCCTCTATACTTTACTACCTAATATAGTATACTAAAATATATTAACATCAAACAACATAAAAACATATTAGATATACACAAAATATAAACAAATTAAAATGAAATACAAAATTAAACATTAATACATCCACCTGTTACTATTCTTTATCAAGTCCACAAGCTTGCAAACTCACATTAAGTTCATTTTCAGGTGAAAATATGGCTGACAAGTAATGATATTTATACTAGTAAAAGTAGTTCTGCACTATGTACTTCATTTAAATCTGTTAATAATTCTTAACTGTAATTAATCACTAGCCTTAGCATTAATTTCAAAGGAATTCTGATTTAGTGATTCAACACATTAGTTAATCCTTGTTGAAGTACTGTTTATGGTGACATGGATTGGTGGAATTGTATCAGTTTTTGCATTGGTCATCACTATTGGCACTGAAGTCATGAATCTTTCTCAGTTTTTCTTTCTTAATTTGGGAGAAGATGTTGAATTGAAAAAAAAAAAATTCACACAGCTGCTGATGAATTTTTTAGGGAGTCATTAATAATGTAAAAATGTATATAGACTGTTGAAAATAGTTGACCAATACATACAAATAAATAGAACCTTTGAACTAAATTTAATTAGCAATTTGCATTTGTGAGCTATAAACAGACTCTCAGTAAGCAGGTTATTTGTTTTAATAGCCATCTCAGATAATATCTTAAGTTGGAAGCTGTAGTATTTTAATATGTTATATTTGGTAAAAGGTTATTTTCATGGGCAAAATGTAAAAAAAAAAGGGGGGCTTGTGTAAAATGGTTATACAAAGAAGTTAAGTTGCTTATGAGACCACTGTGGTCTTAATCCAGCCCAGGCCCTAGTAAAATGTAGAAAAAGCTTGGATGTATGTGAACTTGGGATAATGGAAGGGAAAGAGATGGAAATGTGAAATCTAAAGGATTTTTCTTCTTTTACAAGATACTGCAGGAGTCAGTAGTTTAACATTAGTTAAAAATACCCAGAGCTAGCAGAACTAATATAGTAAACAAGAATCTAGTCATGAAATTTTAAAACTTTAAATAAAAAAATAAGAATTGTAGATTATCTGATATTTTTTTTATGTTTCAAAGTGTCTGAAAAACCATAGGTTTGAGTGAAACGAAGATAATAAAGGTGTTTAATGCATTTACTTAACAGTTTGTAGTCCAAGTATGTGTAGATTTGAACAGTCTTTGATTACCACAGTTTTGTATGTAAATGTTTGAAAATATATAAACAATTCTTATCACCACGTCAATTATTTGATCAAATGAAAATGGCAGGGATGGTCTTTACAACTGTATTACTGAGGAACTCTGTGAAATATTTCATCCTGTGCCCTGACTCATGATGTATGATACTAAACACGTGATAAAAGGCTGTGTAAAATGCTTTGACCTGCCTTAAATAGTGTACATGAATGCACACATATTCAAAATATTTACACAAACTTGTTGCTTAGCTTTGTATCGTAAGGCAGTTACCCGCGTTAAAGCACATAAAAGAAACGTATAGTCATTCATGTGACATTAGTGCGTCAAAATAAGTTAAATTTCTAAATGATCAAATCGAAAGTAATAATTTGGTTAATATTGCATAATACTTCCTTCACAAGTACGTTACGTGTAAATTTATTATATCTGTGACTTTTGTATTGTTTTATTTCAGCTAAATTTTACTTTGAATGATTAAAAATTTTATTGAGCATCGCAGAGTAAATTAATTGTGATTGAATCACTTCAGGTTTACTTCCTAATCCTTGCACAAGTTTATTACAGAACAGTGTATTCATTGTTAAAAATAAATAAAACACGACCTGTTATTCCAGAAAACATTGCTTCATCGGGCAAATAAGACACATTTCAAACTGATCGTGTGCTTACGGCTCGAGGCATTGTCTTTTCAAATTTCCTCTGTAGCAGTATTGTTATCCCATAAACTTTTATTGTGGAAATAACGATATATATATGTAATCAAAGTACATACAAATAATTGTATGTATGCATGATGTGTGTCTGTGTATACGTGATTATAGAAAATATTTCTTCGTTTACTTTGTTATATTTTAAATACCCCGGATATCGAGCTTAGTAATCCTTATTTTCCGACAGGAAAACGGTTCATCAACGAGGATATGACATCATATATCCTTTTATAGATGAATGTATAAACTCACCATCTTCCCAATGGCAAGCGTTACATATTTCTGTGATGTAAAAAAAAAAAGAAGTACATTTTGATACAAGGGAGTGAATTATCTCTTCACTAAATCTTGTTGCACGTAGAAGCAAAGACAAGAACTGTATTTTGTCCTTTGCCAGCTTCATAATGAACTATAGTCATGTGTGTTTAATCGTATTAACGAAATATCTCTTATTGAACCGGAACATTTATATTTTCTTCCTAATGTTAAAAATGGACAATGCCGTAAAATAAGTTAGAAAAGATACTGTAACCGTTTTAAGGAATTAAAAATTTTGTTTATCATTTCACCGTGGGACGAGAGGAAAGAGTTATTTTTGTAACAGGTTATTAACTTGTGGAATGAGTTGCCGTCAGCACCTGACAAGAGTTTAAGAGAGCAATAGATAATTCATGAAAAATAAAGGGTAGATTTAATTTTCTACTTTTTCTCAGGGAGTGTGTGTGTGTATAGGGCCAGCCTTGAAGAATCAAACGTTTCCTTGTTCCCACGTGAGTCAGTTGTCTATGTTCACAGACTTACAACGCTAACATCCGGTGTTCCATTCCCCGCTATGGGCTGAGCACAGATAGCCCATTGTGTAGCTTTGTGCTTAAACAAAAGAAACAAAGTTATGTTAACTGTCTTTATAAAAACCATCTTGCTGCTCACATAATTAAGTGTAGATTTTGTAAATCGTGTGGTGTACAGATGGGCCTTTTCCTACAAATGACGGCAAAAAAAACAAAAACTAACAAGCAAACGTGGAATTTGTTTCACCTGTAATGGAACTACGTTATTGTATATTTGTAGAAATGAACTCGTCTTTTGCTTAATCCTTTTTTTTTACATGCTTATATCGAATCTTATGTAGGCCCACTTGTGTGATTTGCTCATTTTAAAGTCATTTTTCTTACTTTGCATAATTTTTTAATACTTTGCATAATTTTCCCATCATCAACCAACTTCACTCTTCATTATGCAGTTTATCATTATGAGATGCGATAAATGTCAAAATATGATATTGTTGAAAGCTTTTTTATAGCTAAGTTTGGTCTTTTGTCATACTTGAAGTGTTTAAACCTTTTAATGATACAATATGTAAAAGGTAAACGATGCTGAACAAATCTACAATAATCTAACTTAACCCTTGCTTGTACATGAAATCATCAGCCAAAGAAATTGCAACGACGTAATAGAAGGCGCATATTAGGACTGCTTAGTAAACTAATAAGATGTATTTAAAGAGAGAAGAAAACTCCTGTTGCGGATGGTACCATCTGTACCAAATACTATTGGACAGGTAGTAGCTGTAAATGGGAGAAAAAAGTGAAAGCTACTGGATATGATACTTATGAACCCGCAGATTCTTTTTATATGGGGGACTGTGTGAGAATTGTCAATAGTCATTAAAACTGCTATTGGCCTGCTCTCTCTCAAAACGCAAGATGATCTTGCTGTTACCCAACGCTTGTTCGAACTGGTGAAACAACGCATTCCAATAGATTATAAGATTCCGAAGACTTGTCACGAAAGAGGTTGACGTGATTTAGACAGAAGCGGGTAACTTGCAGGTTTGAATTTGCCACAGTTGTGTGAAGAATGTCTGATTGTCTGTGACCACGGACGGTGGTTGTATACTAGCAGAAACAGGCGATATCATACCCACAAGAACATCAGCCTGAGGATTAATTGTATGTTGTGTGGGTCAGTAGTAACAGAAATGGGTAGTGGTACCCATGCAAAGATTCAGTCCCACCTTGTTTGAAGTAAAAGTGAACTATCTCTAGATTCACCGTGACAGTCAGAGTAAACCACCAATACTAGCCTAGTATTCCCTGTGTCGC